GCGTCATCCAGGATGAACCCTCTATAGAGCGCGCCGGTTGTTAGCTCTTAGCTGCAGCTTCCGTTTTGCCATCTTCCTGCTCCTTTTTCGGTTCTCTATTTATAGTCATTGCGTTGCTCAGTATTGAATGTCGGCATCGCAGAGGATTTTCAGCTCTCTCATCCTCCCTTCTCGTTCTCCTTCTTCCTCCGTCTTCAAATCACCAACCTCCCTCTCCCTCCTCCTCCGCTATTCTCCCTTCTGTTATCTCTCCTTCTCTCGCTCCATTTCCTGCTTCATTATGCCTCAGAACCAGGTATGATTGTTTTTGTTCGTAAGTTCGATGTTCAATCTATTTTACCTTATACTGATTACGATTATTGTTTTTAATTTTCAGTTTAGTTTTAAGTTTCATGATCGATTTTTAAATTCTGTGCTCGATTTTGTTTAATCTGTATTCGTTTCAACACCGATTATGATTTTGCGTTTACTTTTCTGTTTAATTTTCAGTTTCTAGATCAACTTTAATTTCCTGGCGTGGATGTTGTTTAATCTCCGATTACCTTTGTTATATTCTGTTAAACAATGAATTCTGCTTCTGGTTTATGTTTCTGATTGTTATATCTTACTTAGAATCAATTAATTCGGCTAATCTTTAATGGAAGCTAGTCAGGGAAGGTTCTGTAAATCATTTGACCTGTTTAGGCATTCCTCCTTGCTCTTTGTTTATTATTCCATCTTGCATGCTAATTGATCAATGGATGATTTTAAAAGGATGTCGAAATTAGTTGTTTATGATTAAACCATTTAAGATTTCCTTTTAATATGACTTTTGTTAAGAAGCACAGGTATCAACATTAAAGCATTGTCTGGAATGAGTATTGGCATCAGTTGCCTGTGGATATTTCTTTACATGAAAGCTACTTTTTACTTAATCCTAATGGGTTAAGATGATTCTGTTGTTTTTAGGATATAGTACTCAAGACATGAATATTAAGTTGTATTTTTGAGATATGACTTTTTATATGCAGGGAAAGCTTGGGCATAGAGAGCAAAGGTGGAAAGAGAAGCCAGGAAATGAGATGACGCCTTTGGCCATGGAAGGTGTATCTGCAGTTGTTGCAGAAACAGTCACAAATAAACTTGGTGGATTGAGTATTTCAGAGAATGGCGGGCAAACTCATCTTTCATCTCAGCCCCTCCAATTTGGGACTGGACATTTGGCAATGCAGGGTCCTGCACAAGGTGAGAAAACAATTTGGAAACCAAATTCCTATGGAACTATCAGTGGAGCCACAGCTGTAGGAGTTGAAAGTGTATCTGCTGAGAAGGCAGAAGTAGCAATCCAGGGCAGTGCAACTGAAACTGCAGGAACCAAAAGGAGCATTGATAGTTTGAGTAAATTATTCAAGGGAAATCTGTTAGAAAATTTCAATGTTGATAACTCGACATATACACTTGCCCAAATTAGAGCGACTTTTTATCCCAAATTTGAAAATGAAAAGTCTGACCAGGAGGTACCTCCTCTGCTTTAGTAATTTGTTGTTATGGTCATTCACATCCTTGACTGTCAATGTGCTATTAGTTGGCCACTTTATTTATCATGTTGTTAAATGACTTCTGTCAACTGGCTCTATACTTGATCTATGCACCAGTGATGCATGGACTTGGGCAACTTTTAAATTTCTGTCTCCATTTTATATAATGAGGTCAATTATTTTTCCATCCAATGAAATCTAGTGTTTCTTTTTATTCATTTTTTTAAAAATTATTGTAATGTTTTCAGATTAGGTTGCTCATGATAGAAATGGTATCTAAAGGCTTGGCTACTTTGGAGGTATGTAATTTGGGCATCCTCTTTATATTACTGTGAAAAGTTTTATACTTCTATGTGCAGGCATCTATGCTTTGGTTGATTTACGGACTGTTGCTTAGGGCATGTGAATGTTTATGTAGATAGATTTAGTGAGTCTTGAGCCTATTATATGAATATTATTTGACTAGTTTACTTTATTGGCATTGAACTTTGACAGGTCTCACTTAAACACTCAGGATCACTTTTTATGTATGCTGGTAACGAGGGTGGAGCATATGCTAAAAACAGCTTTGGAAATATGTATGTTCTCACAATCCTGGATCCTCCTTTTTTGCAAGCCATTATATATATTGTTGAATATGTTTATCTTGTGGAGATCAGCTCTTAAGTTTATGAGATGATATGGCTTGTGGTATTATGGGATTATGGAAAAAAGAAAAGAAAAGAAGACTCATGCTTACGAGATAATGGAACAAATTAGATTTGATGCAGATACACTGCTGTTGGTGTTTTTGTTCTTGGGCGGATGTTTCGTGAGGCATGGGGTACCAAAGCTGCAGAGAAGCAAGCTGAGTTTAATGATTTTCTTGAGGTAGGTTACAGACATTTTTTAATGATTTGTAAGAAAAGAACCTCCAAAAGATCATTTCACTTATTGAGTTCTAGTTGACAAAAAAACTAACGAATTGAATTCTAGAAAATCAAGACTGTATCCTGCAATTCACTTGTTCTTTCTTTTTATGATCTTTCATGTTTTGTCCATTGTGTGCATTTCTCTGTATATTTTGCTGTTGACAAGTTGCCATAGAAGAGTTCTCCTGCTTACAACATATGTAGGCTGTAGCAATTATGTGGAAATCTGCATTATTTTTTCTTTTCTTATGTATTTGTTTTACTGTAATGATGATTGTAATGGCTTATGAGACTAGCTTTATGATTACTAATTTCTTAGAAGAGTCGAATGTGCATATCAATGGAGCTGGTAACTGCAGTTCTAGGAGACCATGGACAGCGTCCCAGAGATGATTATGGTTAAGTGTTTCTCCTCTTCATTCATTCTTCTACTGTTTTTTGGATTATTTGTACAGAGTACTTAGAGTTAATATTTTATTTTACATGTTATTTGGTTGATGTCGAATGCAATTCCAGTTTAAATTATGTATAACAAAATAGCCCAAGGTTAGGTTAGTATTTGAACTATTGGAACTGTTATCTTGTCATTTATCTATTGCTCAGTTTAAAGAATCCATTCTTATTCCTAGTTTTTTCTGAAATTCTGTATCCTTGTACTTATGATAAGTGTGGACTTATTCATTGGGCACTCCTTATGATTACTTTTTTAAAGTTTTTTGTCCCTTAAATCAATCTCTTTTTTACTTTTAGTATTCATATAACTAAAGTATCTTCTATTGGTAAGTTTCTTTATCTTCTGCTGCAATGCCTTAATGCCCTAATGCTTTTTTATTTTTTGCCTCATGCAGTGGTAGTGACAGCAGTTACAGAGTTAGGCAATGGAAAGCCAAAATTCTACTCAACCCCTCAATTAATTACATTTTGTCGTAAATGGCGCCTACCAACTAATCATGTCTGGTTATTTTCAACTAGGTGATGATCTGGGATCCATTGGTGAATTTTGAAAATAGGGTCTAATTGTTAACTTGAACCTTGATGTTCTATAAGTAGGGGTTCTTAATTTGAGACTAATGTCTTTTTCTGGTGTTAAAAAAATTAGGAGTTCCTTTCTTTTCTCCTCTCATGCTTGATTGTTACATCTTTCACATTGTCAGTCCTATGTGTAAATAACTGAGAAGAGTTTCTGTGAATGGTCAGCTCAAAGCAAGAACAATGTAGGAAAAACAAGGACTTCATTTTAATTAAATTGTGCTTATTAGCAATGTTAACAATGTAGGAAAACAATGAGGATTTCATTTTAATGGAATTTTGCTCAAGTCTTGCTATTAGTGATTTATAACTACCATACGTCTATAGCTCTTTTTTCTTGGACATTCATGGTTAGGAGATATTCTATAGATGATAAAGTTTTAGTATTGCTGATTAATCTTGTATGTTAATTTAGGAAGTCAGTGACATCATTTTTTGCTGCTTATGATGCACTCTGTGAAGAAGGAACCGCAACTTCTGTATGCAAGGCTCTGGATGAAGTTGCTGATATATCCATACCAGGTTTTTTTTTTTTTTTGGGTGATGAACTTTCAGTACCTTCGTTATATAAAATTTTTGTACTACCAGGTGTAATTTTTTAATTCAACATAACTTTGGTTAACTTGGTCATTAACTCTAGCTGTCATAAAAGAAGAAAACCAACATTTGTTGGTGATTGGAAATATACCATATGACATTTTGAGAATGTTCTCTCTATTTATGTAATTTTTGCTGAAGTCACCAAATTTGTAGATAAGGGCTAATGACCTAATGTTAAGTTCAAGTAAAAAGACAATCAGAGTTATTACATGCCAGACCTGGTTTGGAATATGCACATGCTCCTGTGTCAACTACATTATATTGTTACAGTAACCTTGCTGGAGTTTAATGGGCAATAACTTTTCGATTTCATCCTCAACTATTATGATCTGTTTCTGGCAGTGGGATTTTTGTATTTTAATACTTAAAAGTTTGTTGTGAGGTCTGTGTATTTAACCAACATATCTTTAATATGCAGGTTCAAAAGATCATATAAATGTTCAGGGTGAAATTTTGGAGGGTCTTGTGGCTCGAATTGTAAGTCCTGAGAGTGTAAAACATATGGAGGAGGTCTTGATAGATTATCCTCCTCCAACAGCTGATGGCGGTACAGTATACTATATTCTTATGTATTCTTTTCAGATGATTGCTTGATCATTTTCACTATATTCTTTTTGTTTCAATTAGATGAAGTCAGCCTTCACAATCCCATACAAATAGGCTTGTCCATCTATAGTTGCATGCTTCTTACTTAGATTCCTATTGAAGATTGTGATTTTCATTGTACTATCTGGGTGTTGGGATGCCATAATTTTTTAGCATGTTTGGTATCTGGAACTGGGGTTGACTTGCTAGTTATTTGTTATGTAATTTTGATGCTTATTTCAGCTGGCCTTGATATGGGACCCAGCTTAAGGGAAATTTGTGCTGCAAATAGGTCAGATGAAAAACAGGTGACAGGAAGTTCCTTTAACATGAAATACAATTTTTATTTTCATCATTTGTGATGTCTTTACTTTAGAAATTAGTAAATTTAGTTTTATTTATTAAATTTTTTTTTTCTAAATTACCATTGCAGCAAATAAAAGCTCTTCTCCAAAATGTTGGTTCTTCCTTTTGTCCTGACCATTTAGACTGGTATGGAAATGAATCTGGGGATGCACATTCAAGAAATGCAGACAGATCAGTTCTTTCAAAATTTTTACAATCTCATCCTGCTGATTTTTCAACCACCAAGTTGCAGGTGAGAATATTCTGGGCAATGAGTCATTATGAATTTGGTGATAAACACTGATTAATGATTGGTAGACTGTGCCTACTGACCAAAATTCTTGGCTCTTAAAATCTTTGGTTATGCAAGTTGGGAATTGGTTTAGTTAGTGAATTGCTTGATCCATATCCACTACAATTTTCTTCCATATAGGAACAATACCCTCTGTCTACTCAAAATTTTCAATTTTTGTGGAGTTTCAGCACTTGATTAGGAAAGAAAATCTGAAGTAGTAGAAGAATTGGGAAAGCAAACTCCTTCTAATAAGGAGTGAAGGAGCCGAAGGAACTTGATTTAATATTCTGTACTGGTGCTTCTATCTCTTTATGGATGCATCTGTTTTTATTCTTCAAATTGATATGCTACCTCAGAACATAATTGGTGCCTCTTTTCTGTATGATTTATTTCCAAGGTTGTTCTCAGAATGCCCCATTAATTCAGTCTAAGATGTACTGTGTGATTTTATTGTTACTACACCAATGAAATGGATGAGGATGCATTGATTTATATCACTCCCTTTATGCAAGCAGCCTTGTCAAAATTATTTCTCTATGGATCATGTTATCTATTCTCTGGATTCCTACTTGTACTGCCAAATTCTGTTAAATTGCCTTTCAATGGCCCCTTTTGTGATGTTATCTTTCCATTTCAATTTTACTTATTTGATTTGAATTTTGGACTCTGAGTTATGTGGTTTCTTTTGTCTCTTTTTTTATATTTGTTTCTTAATTTAGAATTTTCATTTCACTTTACTGAATCAGGAAATGATTCGTTTGATGAGAGAAAAACGTTTTCCAGCTGCCTTCAAATGTTACCATAACTTCCATAAAGTTGATTCTGTTTCAAATGACAACCTTTTTTATAAAATGGTCATTCATGTCCATAGTGACTCAGCATTTCGGCGGTATCAAAAAGAGATGAGGTAATGCTTGAACTTACTCTCTCTTTTGTTAGTTACAGTCTCTTTACATTTATCATAAAACTTTGTTTAAATGACTTATTTTTTCATGTGCTTATGCATTCTCTAATTTTAAAAAATTGGAATATTTAGGCACAAGCCAGGATTGTGGCCGCTCTATCGAGGTAAAAATTCTCCCATTCAAAGTCCAAGAAGGGTGTTTGCCTTGTTCTAAATCTAGTTGATTCTGTCTATGTTTGACTTGCATAAAGAAATAAAAAAGAACAATATGAAAATATGCTTGCTTTAAAACTATCATTGCTTCTATGATCAATGGAGCATTGTTTGTGGATTTAAAATTAATTTTATTGAAAGTGAAGTGATGTTTGAGAAGGTGTTCATTAGTGTTTGCTTATGGATAAACATTGTGTCTATTTCTATATGACTAAAATATGCACAAGATAATGTTGGTTGGCTGTTTGAAGAAACTTTTAATGAGAGAGGATAATATTTAGATTGGAGCTGGTGAATGGGCAAGTTTTTCCCATGCTGATCATGATCATGTAGAGGTTATGAAGTTAAAGGAAAATTTAAAAATTTCCAAAGATTATACATTCAAATCATTAGTCTTAAGCAGAGAAGATGGTGGCATGATTGAGTCATATAGATGAAGCAGCAAATTCTCCCTCGTTGTTCAGATGAAGGTGTGGAGCTGGAGTCCAATGGAGGGAAAATCTAAAAGTTATCAAGGATTGTGGATAGGTTTGGAGACTTAGCAGTGAAGATAATGAGCACTGAGTAACATATGCTAAAAAGCTCTCAATAGTGAGAAAAGCAAATTAAATCTGGAAAAATGCAAAATAGCCTTAATAAGTTTCTAAATGAACATACACTTACGTTTGATGCATATCATGATGCTAGATTTTGTTGAGTTTTATATATTTTTCCTACCTACACCCTTCTTAACTGAAGGGAAAGTTCTTCCTGAGCTGTGAATTCATTCTACTTACATTCTATGTGTTTTACTCAGGTTTCTTTGTTGACATTAACTTGTTCAAAGCAAGTAAAGAGAAGGTTGCTGAAAAAGTGAAATGCAACAATACTAATGTAGGGAACTTTAATGGTAGTGTTGCCATATCAGGAGAAGATGATTTAGCTGATGATGACAGACACCTAATGATCAAACTGAAATTTCTTACGTATAAGGTATGTCTACTGACATATCTGAGAATGCTACCTCACTGCTTGTATGTTGAATGATTCTACCACAATTAGCATATATTAACCATTTTCATGTGATGGAGTGGATGTATGGTTGTCAGAGTATGTATTGGTGTTATTTTTCCTGTTTATGTCATTACTAGACACTTTTGAATTTGTGAGTCAAGCTGCTTAAGGATGATAACTTTAGCATCAGTACGAAGGATGCTTTTTTTGCTTTTTAATAAAAAAATTATAATAGTTCTGTTAGTTTTTTGTCTTCATAAATTGGTAATTTTTGTATTATAGTCATTTGACTTCTAATTCACGTCATACTTTATCCCCTTTTTTTCTTCTTTAACTTCTTTTCCAGCTAAGAACCTTTCTGATTCGCAATGGCTTGTCAGTTCTTTTCAAGGATGGTCCAGCTGCTTACAAGGCATACTATCTTAGGTAAATTTGCAAAAGAAAATTTTTGCAGGATTGTGGCCCTGCTGTTCTTTATACTATTGTGAAAGAATGGATGATCAAGAGCATAAGTGTGAAGCTAGTATGGGTTTGTGAATTGGTCTAAACATAATGATGTCTAAACATTGTTATGTGGAGCAATTGTATTGTATGTTCCTGCTATTATGCATGGGAATACTGCATGCTGAATGCCAAATGGATCAGGGCTATAATTTAATTACTTGTTATATGATGTTTTTGTTTCATCTTCTTAACTAAATCAATGAAATTTGTGTATTATATGCTTCAAACCAAGCTCATTAATCTGATTTTCTCCTCTCCTGCTGTAGGCAAATGAAGAACTGGGGCACTTCAGCAGAAAAGCAAAGAGAACTCAGCAAGATGCTGGATGAATGGTAATGTTAGAATTACACTTTTATCTGTCATGGCTACATATTTTAAGCTCTGTTACTATTCTTAGATTTTTTGCTGTAGTTTCTAAAATAGATGTTTTGCCCCTGAACTTTTAGGGCTGTATACATAAGAAGGAAGTATGGAAACAAACAACTGTCTTCATCCACATACCTTTCCGAAGCTGAGCCTTTCCTTGAACAGTATGCCAAACGCAGTCCACAGAATCAGGCTCTCATAGGATCTGCCGGGAACTTGATAAGAACTGAAGAATTCTCGGCCATTGTTGATGGAGGAGTTGATGAAGAGGGTGATCTTGCAACAGAGAGAGAGGCAGTACCAACAAGCCCTATGCCCTCAGTTGTGGACACTATTCAGAAACATCAGGGTTTGATTGTGTTTTTTCCTGGTAATATCATTATCACTGCCTATTCACTGAAGTAGAATTCATGTTTTTCATTGTGAGAGTCTGAAGAGTTTTATTGTTATGTCAATGTGCTTGAGTAAATTATGAATGAGATCTTTATGCTTCCTCATAGTTAGGATCCAATACCTCTCTAGAAACAGATCTATGTTCTTGCATACAGTTCCATGGTAAACATTACGTAGCATGTTAACAAATTTAAGTAGTTTCCACTGTCTACATGCCTTTTTGGAACTTTGCCTGTCTTTGATTTGCATTTCTTTGAATTTATTATTATTATTATTTTTTTTTTTTTCTAGCCTGCTTTCTTTGAATCTATTTGATCTACTCTGATTCATATGTTCTTGTTTGTAGCCAATTTGGATATAATCTTGCATTTTCCTTTATCTGATTCAAGATTTCTCAAATTGTTTTTTCATTTAAACATCTTATGAGTCTTTTAATCTAAAATCTTATGCTATTCTTGCCATTTTCAGGAATACCTGGTTGTGCTAAGTCTGCTCTTTGCAAAGAATTATTAAATGCTAGAGGTTTAGGAGGTGATCGTCCAGTCCAGAATTTGATGGGTGATCTTATTAAAGGTATAAGATAATGCAAAATAGTTGTAAATAATTCTTTTGTAATGGGCATTATTTTGGTCATTTAGAAGCTTCCACTTTGATTTTTAATCGTTATCTTATTTTCAATGTCTCTTTTGATTGTCATCAAATGCTGAACTATTCTCAGATCTTTGGTGATGCATGTTTTATCTGAATCTTTCATGTCATACTCATGTATCAAATCAATATGCAAAACACTGAAGTTTTGAATTTTACTCATTTATCATGTGTTTGAATGCATTTTGATTGTATTTTTTTTACTATTGGATGGCGAAAGCTTTGATGATTGGTTGATATCTTTGTATAGGTTTTGTGTTGAGATAGTATACACTAACACAGTTTGTGTAACATTTTATTTATTTGGATTTATTGGTCTTGTCTTGCGATCAAACATGTCAATCTCAAATCCTTACAGATGTCTTTGGATTTATCTGTACATGCCCAATTTCAAGAGAATGGGGTATCTTTAACAATTCCTTTTATGGTTAAATATTTGAGTTCATGATTACATACTTAAATGTTTTAGTCTTTTCATCTGTAAAAACAAATAAGATATTGATACAGAACTATCAATGAGTGTGCTGTATGCTACATCTTTCCAGTAAAATTAATTAGTAGTTAACTGATTAAATAATTCATTGTAGACTGCTTAATTTGGTTGTAATTTTATTTGCTTGCATACATCAACAGGAAAATATTGGCAGAAGGTTGCTGATGAGTGCAGGAGAACACCATATTCTATAATACTGGCAGACAAGAATGCACCAAATGAGGAAGTTTGGAGACAGGTAAGTTGCATTTTTTTTTGGATATATCTACCGTGCAATGCTTTATTGGCATAAATGGAAGATGGATATGTAAAGGAATTTTGACTGAGAACAACTACATTACAAGAAGGTAATATTTGAAACTCTCTTGAGATTGAATTGGGCAAAAAGATGGATTCAAGTATTGTGGAACTGGAAACCTGATTCTCTGCTAAAAATTTTAAAACCTGGTTTTGTTGCAGAATTCCCAAACAAATTGAAACCGAAGTTTAGTTGAAAATTATATTATCAAAGTTAGGTATAAGATGCATAAGTTGTTTAAGAAGCAGTTGGGTCTTGTGTTTCTATTTTCATTTTATTGTATGGAAAATTGGTGTGATATTATGACACTCCAAATTATACCATGACAACTAAGAGTTGTGTGGAACACTGACCTTTAAATGTGAAAATTCAAACTTTTAACTTTTCTGTGATGAAGGCATAAACTTCTAGGTGTAAACCTTTCTGAATTCTTGAGTTTAACAGCATAATAGTTGAATTGCTAGAAAAAGGAAGAAACTATGAACAAAAATGTCATATCATGGTCCTCTCACTTGTGCAGATTGAAAACATGTGCCATGGCACCAGAGCCTCTGCAGTCCCTGTTGTACCTGATTCTGAAGGTTATTTCCTTCTGCATTTATATTCATTGCTTTATCTATTATAAAAATTGTTCAATTGTTTAAGTAATCTTTGGCCACTTTGTGTTGCCTTTTTGTTGTTCTAAATATATGGATATTGGATGTCTAGTGAACTGTATATTATATTTGGTCTTTTTATTAGTCAATTGCCAAGTGGTGCCTTGGTCTGTACACTTCAGCTTTTCTTGTTTCTCATTATGGCTTTAGGATGAATTTCTCCTCTAAACCTGCAGGAACGGATTCAAATCCATTTTCACTTGACGCATTAGCTGTCTTCATGTTCCGTGTGCTCCAACGAGTCAACCATCCGGTATTCAATCATTTATAATTTAATAAAAGAACCTAACTATACATCCATACTTTCAATTGTTATATCTAGGTAATCTGTTTGCTATTGTCTGAATCCAAGGGTAATCTTGACAAGTCATCTCCAAATGCTGGCTATGTACTGCTGATGTTTTATCAACTTTATGAGGGGAAGGTACTATATCCTCTTAGTTTTGAAGCTTCACCAAATAAAAAAGTACTAGTTTTGACACTCTTTTACTTAAAGCATTTCTAAACTCCTTGTCACAATGTTTAGAGCCGGAAAGACTTTGAGGATGAATTGGTTGACCGCTTTGGCTCACTTGTCAAAATGCCACTGCTAAAATCAGATAGGTATAACTATTTGCCACCTCAATTATTTGGCATGCCATGTGTTTCTGATTGATAAAGAGTATGTATATTCTCATCATGTTAATCATGCTTTGTTTTTGGGTAAAAAAGGAAAACAACAACAAAGAATCATGCTTCTTTTCCTACTCATTTCAGTATCAGTCTAGTTTTGCACTCAAGCTTTTTGTGTTTGAACTTTTAATCAAAAGATCAGCATTTTTTTGAATATTTTACAGTTATTTCTAAACATAGGTGGTTGGATTCCCCCATAATATATGCCCTTGTGCGCATATCATACTGTACATGTCTGGATTTCTTTTTCTTCTGTTTTATCTTTTCGTGAATCCCCTCCCCCACCAAAAAAAAAGGAGAAAAAAAATATTACACACACAGACCATTTTTGAAAAGAAATTGATGCGGTTTACTTCTTCTTTCCCTTGTCATGTATATGATTTACCATATTTCAAACCCCTAACTGAAGCAATTCACTTCTTTTCCTTTTTGGCATTTGCATTCTTCTTGCATCTACAGGAGTCCTCTGCCTGATCCTGTAAGGTCAATTTTGGAAGAGGGAATCAATCTCTACAACCTTCACACAAGGACACATGGAAGGTCAGTAGATGATGTTTGCATTTCGTATGTGTACTGCTTTATAGTACATCCAGGAATATGAAATAACATATTAATCCTTTTCTTCTCATTCTTGTTTGTCTAGTGGATGAATAGTTGTCTGTTTCTAAGGTATCTTGTTGCAATGTCTATCCAAATTTGATACCATAATTTACAATGGAATTGACTACCTTCTTTTACTCTATTTTATCCCACTAATGTTGAGAGATGGTTATCTATATTTCTCCTTATTAGTTCCCTTTTTTTCTTTCGTTTCAATTTAAATGCTACTGTCAGTGGCACTGCCTACTGTTGTACCTCAAAATTGGATTGGTATATTTACTTCTTTGTTTCCCATTTTGTGCTTAGGTTGGAGTCCACCAAAGGTACATATACAAAGGAGTGGGCTGAATGGGAAAAGCAATTGCGTGAGACCTTGTTTGGCAATGCTGAGTATCTCAATTCCATCCAGGTTAATAAATTTTTCTCTATTTTTTTTAGTAATTTGTGATTAAAAATGTCACGTCTCATATGTTTATGTGCCAGCTCAAATGTATCATCAGTAATCGTCAATATCTCCTTCGCATAACTTAAAATGTCATTAAAATATTTTTCAAGTGAGCTTATTCCAAATTGCTTGATTGTTTATATGTTGGCTTCTTATTCCTTCCTTGTAATGTCTTCCCTTTAACTTTAGTCTATGTCTCCTCCTCGGCTCTCAAACTAGGTACATAAACTTACTGCTTTTGATGTTATTCTTCTAGTTGAGAGATCCTACTTTAAAGGTTTTCAATAGTGTTTTGCATCATTAAAAAAAGAATTAGATTTACGACAAGGATGCTAATAATAGTAGAAATAGTAGGGAATATATTACAGAAAGTTTTTCTAAACTGAGGTTAGACATTAGACAATTTTAAATGACTGGGTTTGTTTGAGAATAAGCAACTAAATTCATTTCTATAACAATGGACGAGAAGAAACCAAAAGAACAAATAATCATATTTTGAAGGATTTAAATACTGTAATCAATTTTCTCAAAATTAAAAAAATAAAAAGAAACTGCAGAATTTTATTTTAGTAGTGTTAGGCCCTGGCCCTCAACATAAATTCTGGCCTTGCCCCTGTTAATACTTTCTTACTTGGTTCATTTTAGGTTCAATTTGACTTTGCTGTTCAGCAAGTACTGGAACAACTAAGAAAGATAGCAAAAGGCGAGTACATAGCACCCACCATTGAGAGGAGGAAGCTTGGAACCATTGCTTTTGCTGCTGTCAGTTTGCCAGAGGCAGAGATCAGAAGTCTCCTCGATAAGGTTGGTGAAAACTCTGCTATCTCATAGTTTCTTCAGCAGAGATATCTAATTGGAATTTGTGTTGAATTTGCCAGCTGGCTGAAAAGAACCTGAAGGTTAAAGCTTTTCTCGAAGATAAACACATGGAGGGCAGCCTTAAGAAGGCACATGTGACTCTTGCTCACAAGAGAAGTCATGGTGTTGCAGCTGTGGCTGGTTATGGTGTCTTCCTCCATCGCAAGGTACCAGTGGAACTGACTGCTCTTCTCTTCACAGATAAAATGGCTGCATTCGAAGTCCAGCTTGGTTCTGTTGATGATGAAACAATAGACTCAAAAAACCAGTGGCCCCATGTTACCATATGGACAGGGGAAGGAGTTGCACCAAAGGAAGCCAACTTGTTGCCACAGTTGCTTTCAGAGGGGAAGGCAACTCAGGTCGAAATCAACCCACCAGTCACTGTATCAGGGCCGCTTGAATTCTATTGAGTAGTCTCTTCTTTCTCCTCTCCTTTATTTGTTCTTTGTTTTAATGGGATGCTCATGAAGAGGGATGGCATTGGGTTTATGAGGGTAGGTTGTTGGGTTCCGAGGTCATGAGATTTTGCGGCTGCTAGGTAGAGAAAATGCTGAGGCAAGAAGTAATCTTTTGTTAGAATAAATAGATTTGTCAAATAGAAGGAAATCTTTTGAAACAATGCACTGAATAATGAATGGCACATAATAGACAAAGGGGGTAGACAATCCATGGTTGAACTTTTTATCATATATATATATATATATAGTAAAAGATTTATGTTAAACAAGATTTTATGTACACAAGAAGACATTACGTATAGGGGTTGGTGCTTTTCCGTCTTACCTCCAAAAAATTAAGAGGAAAAAAGACAAATATTATCTTAATGCATACTCTAAAAATAAGATAATTTAGTCTTTTTTAGTAAAAGTTTATTGAAACGACATAATTTTAAGATGATTTTCCTCTTAATCTTTAGGAGATAAAGCTGACAGACACTTTTTCCTTACATATATATATGTATATCTATTTCTTTTCTTCTTCTTTTTTTCCCATCATTTCCTTCCCTTGGCGCGTAATGTTCGAATTTTCAGGTTCGTATAATCGTATTCATAATGTTTCTATTGAAATTTGAAAGCCTGATGAGTTTTAGATTAGTGTTGTTCCCACAGTAATTTGTTGTATGCATATGTTTTACTAGTGTTGTAAATAAGCCGAGCATGGTCGAGTAATTTAGACTGAAGATGAAGCTCGACTTGTTTTTAGATTTTGACATTCCTAAACTCATTTTGAACCTGTATAATTTATTTAGAAGCCAGAATTGAGCTATGCTGCTCTAGTTATTATTATTATTATTATTATTTTAAATTGTTATTATGAATCAGTTTAACACTCAAAATAAGCTAGAAACCCAAATTTGGTTCAAATGCAGAATATAGTTCAGCAAACGCAGATCCGATGACATTGTACATCTTACAAAGTGCCTTAAAAGTTCATTAGATGTGGTTAGATATAATTTTTAACGTAACATTAATGACTTCAACAAATTTTATTCGTGAATGGTTCTGAAGTTTTACGTAAAAATCGAAAAAGAAATGGTGATGACCAATGGGCTGGGTTCGGTCAAAATTGGTACATGGCAAGCCAGCTGTCTTGGATCTGAACTTATGAGTGGGGTATATACTGGGCCAATCTTGGGCTAGCTTTTCTTAAATTGACTGGGCCCAGTTCATATGCCTCGTAAAAAATCAAACTCTATATTTGGTTTTTAAATTATTTTAGTTTAGTTCACTTAATTTAAGGCCGGTTTTAGAAAACATTGTTTACCGCTTTTGGTTTAAATGTTTAATTGTCAAAAATAGAACTTAAGTCTTAACTAACCAAGTAATCAACAACTTACTATTAAGTACGAATTTTTAAAATTGATAATCAAAATTATTTTTTTAATTTATTAAAATTTTTATTTTAATGTAGTTGCTAATTGACAACTAAAATTAAAAATTGAAAACAATGTTACTGAAGAAATCTTATTTAAGAATTTTTTTTTGGTTAAAATCAGATAAATTAACAATGTTAATTCAAAATTTGGATTATATGATTATATCAGAAAAAAAAAAATCTATGTAGAACTTGGTTTTAGCCAAATTAAATTATAAAATCTGATTTGTTTGACAAAAAAATAATAAGCCTCTGCCCTTCTTCTTCTTCTCTTTTTTTTTTTTATGCATTTTATAGTCAAATTCCCTATTTATACTTGATATATTATTTTTTAATTAATACCCTCTATAATTTTCATTTTTTATTAACATTTTTTATAACTTAAAACTTGTAAAAAATTCTCAAATTACTAATAAAATTAAGGTAAAAATAAGAAATTTGATCATTAATTTT